CCTTCATCTCGCCCTCCGCTCGTCTTTTCCGTCTCTCTTCGGCTTTTCCGGTCTGCTCTCGCCTCCGACTCCTCTCCGCACCGTCCCCTGCTTTCCAGACACTCCAATACCCTTCCTCATCGCTCCCGACCTCAACGGACTCTCGCTCTCTGCGAAGACCCTGAACAACATCTTCAACGTTTCCGTCAACCCTCACCCTCCCACCGCAATCACCCACTGGCATCGACTCGGCTTTTTCAAGAACTGTAGTTTCTCCATCCCCTGGAATCAGATCTACAAGCTCCCTACTTCCGAGAAAGAAGGCGACGTTCAGTTCCGTCTGCTTCACAACTTCCTGCCTTCTCTCCCTGTTCTTCATCATCTCAACTCTGACATCTTCCCCTCCTGCGGATGGTGCGGAGAGGAAGGAACTGTCGTCCATCTTTTCATCCTGTGCCCTGCCGTCCAACCAGCCCTCCATCTACTACATACCCTGCTCTCTCGTCTTCTTTCCGATCTCCGCCTCAACTTCGACCTTTATTGGACCCTGATCCCAAACGTCAGGAGTCGGGAACGGGACGCGGTCAAACTCGCGAATTATCTCATCGTTGGCCTTAAAAACGTCATCTACTGGTTCTATCGCTCTACCGCCTTTCCAATCCTCTTCTCGTCTGGTCCAACCGTTTTAAATCAAAAATCGTCATCGAATATCACTATCACCGGTTGAATTTGTCTCTTGATCTGTTTTTAAAAAAATGGCATTAAACAACTCTCTTCTTCAGTAGTCAAAGACTAGATAACATGGCTGATCTAATCACTGTCTTCTTGCTTTTTCTTCCTAACGGCCTAAGTCCGGGGCGGCTGCTTGCTTTGTCGAATGAGGGGATCCCACCGTCCCGTGACGGGGACCTTTCTTACCCTACTGCTTCTAGTCGTAAATTGTGTTTGAGTGACATTTATTATACTACATAAACTTTATTTGGATTATACTTCGATTTAAATTCAGTGTGTCATAAAGTCTTTAATCATGTTTTTGTTACATTTTTCTCCATTTAATCTTTTCTGTCCATTGTTTGTATTTTTCTCGTGAATTTCTTTACCATGTTTAAAGGGCCTCCCTGGGAGTGGCTGTTTGTGCAAACGAAGCGTGATGTACTACCTCTGCTCCCGGCTGAGACCCTCGAGTTTTTCTCTACTCTTTATCTTTTTCTTTAATCTAATTATATCTTTTATTTGTATATAAGTTAACTCTTTTTTGTTTATACTTGTATTTTCAAAGGAATGTAATAAAGTGTTCCTTTTGAAAAGTCAAAAAAGTCCAAAAACCAGCTTTTTTCTATTCAACTCGTCGCTACCAGCCAAAAATTTAAGTCATTGCAGACATATCCCTCCGCTGCGAGGAGTTCTATTTTTAGATTAATTTGCATATGCAGTGCCCTCTACTGGTCCAATTCGTGAGCAATCAAGCAGAATCATAATACATGTTAATCGTTTCCCCACACTAGCATGCCCGGTAAGGATCGAGCAAATGGAATTGCTGAACAATTCACCGAACCTTTGAGACCTTTTCAAAGATGGCCATTTGGTCATCATGCTTTCGTATTTCTTCACGCTAGTCCTTTCACTATGTTTAAAATTTGCGCTCGGGTAGTGTGCCGGCACACTCCTGGCTTACTATGCAGCTGTCAAGACCTTCTTTTATTAGAACTCATCGATGCAAACCTTGAACCCTAGTGAAGAAACCATCCCAGGGTTCCCTAGGTCACCACTTTCACCCGCGTCTTCCTCCCGTCCACAAAATAGTCAACGACAATCATCATATATCCACCAGACTTCAGACCGCCTTGCCAATGTCCATCCCAGACACACCGCTTGTGGCAGGTGTCCCCCTTGGATACCCTTCTTCTCTTCCCAGCATGGCATCTTCAAGTGTGAATCTAACAGCTGTGTTGTTTGCCAGAACCATGTCTAGGAATCAGATACATTCTCTGGACATGTCTAGGAATCAGATACATTCTCTGGACACTCCTCCGGTCATGTGTGCCACCCACAGGACCAAAGGCACTATCACTTGTAGCTCTTCTAATGTCATATGCATTTCCATCTTATCTCTTGTGTGCAGTGTTCATTATGTCAGAGAGACTAAGAACACTCTCAAGCGTTTTTATGGCCGGAGATCTACGGTCAACACCAAACGATTACTACCCTTTGGGCCACCACTTCAACCTTCGATCCTAACCGTTCTATTGTCTGACACGAGGGCGTAGAAATCACTTGGCGCCGTAAAGATGCTGTTCGCTTCAACAGGGAGAATTAAGTTGTGGATCACTCGCTTCGCACCATACAACCCCATGGGCCGAACATCCAAGAGGGAAACTACTAATAAACACTCGTTTCTTTCCCTCTCATTTGTCTGCAGATATACCCCCCCATTTGGGGTACAGTTCGCATCGTTCCATTATATTTTTCTTCGATCTCTTCCACCTTACATCCTGTTGCTCAACCATGCCTTTCATGTAATCTCCTTTACGCCTTGCCACTTTATCCAGCCTGCTGCTTTCTTGAACTTTTCTTTTGTCCTCCTGCATTCGTCCATACGTGGGTTATTCCCCGTTTGCTTGCAAGTTTGTCCTGTCCACTTGTTATTTTGCCTTTGAGAAAGATTCCGGTGGGATCGAAACTTCAGGCCCTCTACAGTAATCGATGCAAAGCTTGACATTCGCAGAGCAGAATGGCTAAAAACACGATTGAAAAATGATCCTATATAAGTGCTCGAGAAAGTTGAGAGTTGCCTCGTGAAAAATGGCTACCAGCAGACTTCGGAAAAATCATTTTTTAGGGGGGGGGGTGATTTTGTTTTGTGGGAATAATTAAAAATGTAGTTGATTAACCCACAAAAAATTGAAAAGAAATTGAAAGATAAGTGGCCCGACAAGAATTTCATTTGTGTTTNCATGCTATTGGGCCCTGAACGGTGCTGATTTTACACTGTTTTCAATAGGGCTTCAAGCCCGGGCTTAAATTAGTGGACTGTACCCTTAAGTTGCACATCCCTAGGTAAATGGTCCGTGGCCCACGTTACATGGTTAATTGCCCCATTATTTGATCAAAGGTTTTGGACCAAAGATTGTCGCTGCGTGGCGCTGTACATATCTAGATGTTAAAAATCAAATCGACAGAGGTCGTATGCGCGGCGCGGCTAGCAAACAGGGTGTACACTGTCAGTGTCAGTACTGAACTTGACTTCGTGGTCGACGTGTCCAGTTGCTGTGGTCAAAGAACGGAAAAAGGTGACTTATCAGATCACTATTTCACGACATTTACAGCGTACACTGGCGCGTATTATTATTACACTGCCGGTGCGGTGGACATGTATGGTGTTTGGTAGCCCCACAAATAGGGCTGTAACCAGTGGCTCGCTTTCACAATCTGTCTCTTAACATGGTGGCGACAGATAAGAGACAGATTGTAAAAGCGAGCCGCTACAGCCCCATCTGTGGGGCTAGGTGTCTGGTAGACCTGTAAACAGGGCCCAACGAATACTCCTCCGTCGTATATACGACGGAATATTCGCTGTGCCCTGTTTACGGGTCTAGGTGTCTGGAGGCTGTTGCCAGTGTTTTATCAGGTTTTTATCAGCTAAGCCTGTCCCCTCACGCCCCAACCGTCTCTTTCAACTACACAGAGTCCCAGTGTGTGCCAAAATCCCTTCATTCAAATCAACAAATTATTCATGCAGATGTAATTTTTGCACAGATTATTTATTTACTTTTAGCTTTGGGTTCGCCGTCTGCAGGTCTGCCATATCGGATGAAGATATGTCAGGTGTTAGCTGCATAGACTTGGAGAAGGTTGAACAATTTTTTATAGAAATCTGCCAACCATAGTTTGGGCAGCCCAACTGTAGCATAATAGAGTACCAAAATGAATACGTCACACGCACAATTAGTGTGTAAAAGGCATGAGCGCATTAACCAGCGCGTGAACTAACACACGTGCGTACTCCATTCGTTTGCACTGCTCTTTCTGGTTCACAGTGACGTCACACTTTGGTACTCTTTTGCAAAATTTGCTGTGGCATACTTTTCTTGTGAAAGCCCATATGTCCGCGACAGGAAGCTAAAAATTTCAATTTTTTTCCGCTTACCATTATGACTTGCTTAATGCACGCTACAACGTAGCTTTGCTGTTGCCAGTGAAATGACCAGTATTAACAGACAGCCATTTTCAGCCCCATTTGAAGAGCTCAAGAGCTAAATGCACGCGGTTGGCATTAACACAAAAAACCTTGCAGACTTTGCATGTAGCCAAATCCTGTCAGTGAGAATCTTGTTCGTGGTTGGACACAAGCAAGGAAACGTGGCTGTTCAAGTAGGGAGAGTGTGTGTATTCATACGAAGCATTTCAAAGTTGCATTGGGGCATGAATGTGCATGCGGGCACTGTACTTGTCAGAGCCTGCATGTAGTGAAGTTGCATACTAGACAAAGAATTGAGACTTTTTAATGCATGTCTTGCGTTGCATAGACAGAATCACTGGTGATCAGACTTTATTTTAAACTGTACCAGAATGATTTACATGTATTTTCAGTCATGTTGTGATCACCTGATACGTGGATGTAGGCCTACATGTATCTAAATAACAATGGGTAGCAATTTATGTAACTGTCATACAGTGATCATGTCCCAGATTTCTGGCTTGGCACAAATGACTTGCTTGTGGAATTTGAAATTCTTTAATTTCAATCGTTTTAGTGTACCTGTAGATGGTCAACATTTACAGAAAAGAAAGAAAAACTTTCCCCCTTGGCTGGCAGATGAACATCTACATACATGTACATGCAATTTTTCATTTGCCCTTCTAACGACGCATATAATGTATGGGTGTATAGTGCTATATAGGGCCTACTCAGTGTTTTTTTTTCCGAGAGCTTGTGAAAAAAATTCACCAGCTTACTCGGGTTGGACTCAACTTTGCAACTAAAGGGCAAGACTAGGGCGAAACCCACAACAAAAGGGCAGAACCTGTTAAAATTTAACTTCTCCCCGATGCAAAGTACATCTTGTACATTGTACGTGACCCACAGAATACACTGCATACATGTAGAATGAGCCTCTGACGGCATCACTCTTTAACATGTGCACTTTTCCCTGGAGCCAGTGGGGGCCCCCGTTGTCCACTGAGCATCGTACTGTAGGAAAGCATACCACATCACACAATGTGTGGTATCAGCAATGAAGATATGTAATTTGCAGTCAATGTCCACTGTGTGGTAGCAGGTGCACACATCGCAGGGTACAGGCTGTGGCATTTTAAAGTCAATATTTGGTTGATTTCACCATGTCCACCCACATGTACATGTAGACATCTTTATGTGAAGTTCCTGTACTCCGTTTAGGAGAAATGGATGTCATAAATTTTGTAACATGTAGACATGCATGTGTCCAGATTACCTGACATGATTTACCCTGCTCCGTCCCGCAGTGTCATTCGGGCTTCGTCTTGGACCGTCCTGTCAGTGTTTTGGAAGAAGTTTGATATGATCTCTTTCCTTGATAGATTTTGCTTGGGACAATACAGAGCGTCACCATTATGTATCGGTTGTGCAGGACAGGTCTTCGTCTGCAGACATTGAAAAAAGAAGGGTGTGCTGTTTGCATTGTACCACAACACAGGAGTTTTAGTGGTGAGTACCAATACCTTAGCAGAGAGAATCCACAAATGAGTGACACCAGAAAGATGTCTCTTGCGGCACTCTTGACATGTGCATACTCTGGTTTGTGCATGTACGGGGCAAAATACTCGAGTTGCCGACCTGGCATTATAAAATTGAGAGGGGGAGGTGCCCCGGGAGGGGGGGGTGAACCCGAACAAACGGGCAAGGCATACTAATAGTAACTTCTGCTTTAAAAACTTCTAGCTTACCACTTGAGAACAAACGATTTAAGGGGAAGGACAAAGTACATTTAGCTCCCTAAAAATTAATTTTTTGATAAGGGCAAGATGCAGTCTCCCCCTTCCACTACTGTGCTCATGCAGCCCATGTTCATACATACATGTTTCCCTGTTTCCCTACCGTATTTGTGGATGCAGCCGTCAGTGCCCTCTAAAGTGCTGTTCATATCATTTGGAACAAATGCCACCCGACCTCTTACCTCTCTTGCTGTTGTTATTTTTAACCAGTTAACAGTGCACACCGAATTAGTATTTAACGGACCCCCATAAACAAAATTTCTACCGACCTGCCCTGTTTTCAGAGAAATATTTGGGGGGAGGGCCTAATCTGAAGGCTCTGTTTCCTGTGTGCAGTGGGAAGGAAACAGCTGGCATTTTTAGTGTTGGCCTGGTATCAATTACATGAACATTATACATATACATGTACACCTCGAACTCTCTTTTCCAACATTCACCAGTGAGGGAGCTCTTAAGCACAGTGCCCTAGACTCTACTTGTGCATGTAGACAGACTGCCAACATTGGGGCAGAGTTAACTCAGTTGAGTATGAGCATGTCAACGTACATACTGTACACGTGGCTGCAGTGTGGGAAGCCAGGTTTAGGCCCTGCTGTATTTGGCCTAGATGCATACATGTACAAAACACGCATGACATCAGTCCTGGAGAGACAGTTGATCCCATTCATCCTTCACCAGCTACCAGAAAAAGGCTTGCTGGCTGAAAAATGTTCTCACTGCTTCACAAGGACGGGACATGAAGGTGTCGACTGAGTTGTAAACTTGTTTTTCAGTGTTTTCAGTTTTTTAGGTTGTTTTTTCTTTGCTTGAGATTTTCTCAGTACGTGGGTGTGAGAGCTTGAAAGTAACCTGAAATGCATGAGAGGTGGTGCCGTTGATGCAGCCTTTACCCAGTGGCATGAATTGTAAGGTTTTGTTTGATAAGAGTGTGTAGGCAAAAAAATCCACAGGGGATGGGGCCTCTACTCCACTTTCAGTGCCAGTACCATTCAAAGCGGGCAGATATACAGATATAACATGGCTTGAGGGTGGATCCACGTAGTCAATTTTAGCTCCCATGGTATTGGAAATCAACAAACGAGTTCCTGAGGCTTCGAGTTTGTCAACTTCAAACGCCATGGGAAGCTATTAACAGAAAAAGCGACCGGCATGCACTGATGAATGGACCAGTGAAAGTTCAGCTGTCAGTAATGAGTACAGTATGTACCAGTATGTTGTACATGTAGGCACATGGTGATATCAGATAACAGGCACTGCTCTCCAGGGCAAAACAATGACAGATGTTCAGGCAAGGTAGTAAAAAGGGGACCCATGACAAAGGGGGCACTGGCCTCCCACTTCCTTCTCCCTTAACATTTTTTCAGGCTGGCAGGTGTACATCAAGCTTACATGATGTCTGAATTTGTAAGAGAAAAGACTACTGTCATTGTCAGACTGTGCCAAACTGAGTTTTTGTGGTAGCCCCAAATATACAGTAAATGCAAATCAGCCCAGGCTGTATTTTTTTCCAACTTCAGTCAGCCCTCAAAATGCCAAGGTACCACCATCCATGCCGGCAACAGCCTCAATGCCCGACACAGACTTCAAGCCTGCAGAATACAAGGTACTGTACATGCGATATGAGATGAACTCATACATGTGTATATGAGATGAGCAGAATTGGGATAAAGTTTGAGAAAATTGTTAGTATAGCTTTACAGTGCTCAGAAATGGAGAATTTGAAACACCAAATGTTTTCGGAGGTTCTTGCATCTTTGAATCAAATACTGTGTGTCAAGCTCGAATCTGAATGTTTAAGTGACTGCTGCCATGTGACTAATTGGAGGACTTGAGTGGTGAGTGAGACATGGAAATGGCTGTACTGAAACAGTGAGGCTTTGAAAATCCTCAAGTCTCTCACATATGTTTTTTTCACTGTGTCAGCCAGTCTGTCTCTGGTGTTGTAGTTGAGTCCATCACAAGTCCCCTCACAAGACCAATCGAAAGCTGAGTTAGTGATGGCTGAGGAGTACTTCTTTTGTTTGAATAACTCTTGACTTGGCTGGACTTGTGGTGGGCTTGCGATGGCCTTCCAGAGGCTTGCAGGGACTATATAATGGACTCAGCTTCATGCACATTGTGCGACATGTCTCTATCCTATCCATCAGCATCATATTCCCACACTTACTCACACTTCCTCCTTGGGAGAATTATGCACAACTTGACAACAAAGCCCTGTTACTGACACATTGATGACAACAGCGAGAAGCAGTGATGAGTATGTCTTTTAAAAGGTCTGTTTCCAAATTTTGGCCAATGTGGCTTCGTCTGTGTTCTAGCTTTACCTTTTGTTCCAGAGACATTTTAAAATGTTAACCACAGAAGCCCACTCACACACATACAAAGTTGTCTAGACAATGGCATTGTTAGATAGTGTGACAAATTGTGCCACGGAAAATGAACCTGCATTGAACCAGGTAGTTTCAACTCCAGGGACCATATCAAGTTTTGCAATCCCAAAGTCACAACCAGAGACGTGCTTGTACTTGAGTTGGTCACAAATCCTTGAAAGTCCCCTCAATTACAGCCCATCACTACTTTTCTGTTTCTAGTCTACAGTCTCGTGACCAGCAATTCAAAATGAACTATGCAGAAATTTATCATCGTTCGCCGTATCCAAAGGGTACTTGTGAAAGGACTTGTGATGGACCCCACCATAACCGTGACACTGAACCAGGGATTTACAAAATTCCCATACGTCGCAGAATGTCTCTTTTTCTTTCACTCCTTTTATTTTTTTTTTACACCAGGGTATGTCTTACGAGGAGGCACGAAAGGTACGGACTTCCACCATTAACCCAGCTATTCTGGAGTACTACAAGCAGCCGATCATGCTCCATCAGGGCCACATGCAGTGGCTGTTTGACCAGAATGGCAAACGCTACTTAGACCTCTTTGCCGGCATTGTGACGGTCAGTGTTGGCCACTGCCACCCGTAAGTGCCCACATGTCCCTGTTGATTTAAACAAAGCTATAGACCTGGGTGGGATAAGAACCTGGAACCTCAGGAACGTTGCACAGGTGCTTAATCTAGCTGTGCCTTGGTAATTTCCCAAATTTTCCAGTTGAACTGATGGGAAGCACCCTCCCCCAGTACAGGTTCCTCTGTAGTTTCCTCAACCCGGCAGAACACTCCTCTCAACAGTGAACTAATGACACATTACGACGTATTCCAATACACGAGCATCAAGTCCAACTCAGTGGAGTTTTGACCAGGCTTTAGATATCCTGTCCAATCTTGTAAAAACCCCTTGGTGGATTTTGAAACATTTTGAGGCAAAGTACCAATATACAGAAGGACAACGGTTGTTTTCAAATCATTTCAACTTGTACCTTTCACACTGATTTCTCTGACTTTCCAAATGTACGTACACATTGTACATTTCTCTTCCTTGGATCTTATCAGTTTTGGAGGATCCAATATGTTGTGCTCTCACATAGCTCTTCCCATCCTGGTTGAGTTCTTTCTCCACCAGTGCACCGTGCTCAATCTGCCAAGGGGAAAACCGCACTTCTGCTATTTTGATCTAACAGAAATTCTCCACACGAAAATTTGCTCTTGTAAAAGTGTACAGTTTCCCAGCACTGAAGCCAGAGAGACGTTTCAAGACACATATAATGATCGCCTTAAGTTCTCTCTCTGAAAAATATTGGAAGTTGTGAAGAACTTGTTTTTCTTTCTCTGTTGGTGTTCAATAGGAAAGTGAACAAGGCCTTGCATGAGCAGATTGACAAAATCTGGCACACCACCAATGTCTACATGATTCCTGCCATCTACGAGTACGCCGAGATGCTGACCTCCAAAATGCCTGGCAACCTCAAGGTGTGCACAAGTTATTTTACTAGTCAGACATTTCTAAGCATTGTACAACTTTGAAGCAATGATTGGTTCATCTACAGATAGCCACCTGTCCACCTGTTCTGGGAACAGGCAAAAAACAGCGGCAGGCAGTGTCAGCCTGGGCAGGGGTTACAAACTAACATTTACTGGTACGTCACAAATCTTTTACACTGGGGAATAAATCTTTTTCCATCCAAAGCATACAGTGCAGAACAAAGGAAGCACGGGCTCAGATAGCACCATGAGGTAACAGTCTCAAAATGTTTGCCCAGAGTGTACTGGACGTTTTCAACAATAACATTTCATTTAATAGGAAGGTCAGGCTAATCTAAATGAAGCTCTGAGTAACAATTGTTTACAATCCAATCAACAGTCAACAGTAAAAATGCTGCTTAAAACCATGAGATCATCAACTAGATTTTAAAACCTCCCAAAGTGCGTTGTATTGCTGCTGCTAACAAGTTTCATTGATGAGGGGAATATATTAAAAAAGATTGATCACCATATGAAGCAGTTTTGCTAACTGGCTGATATCATTTTGGTACAGTAGTCATTGTTGAACGCACAGTGCGCTTGGTTGAGTGAGCGCTTAGTAGCTCAGACAGATACTGGTGATCTGGTTCCAATTCCTTTAAAGTCTTTTAAAACAGGACTCAGAATGTTAAATTCCAACCATCTATGTATACAAAGCCAGGGAAATCTTTTCAGCAGTAGAGTGACATGCTGAGGCCTTTTTTTTGTCCCGGTAGACGAGCAGCTGAGTTTAGAATAACCTGTAATTTCCTCAATTTAATTTGCGGCAAACTGGAAAGTGAACTGTAACAATAATCAATTTTCAATGTATCAAAAGCACAGATCAATTTTCTTGGTGGAATTCTAATCAAGCAGGTTATGTATTCACCCATGTGAAAGGTGTTCATGTAAGGCTTATAGGCAATGTACAATTCATGCGTGCCACTGTGCCACCAGACACCCTGGACGCATCTGCTTCACGTTGGTAACTGTCAATCTACAGTTACACTGCGAATTATAAGTTTCATTGATAGGGCAGTCATCTCTTGTCATGAAGTGCGTTGTTATACAAAATACTGTTATAAAGAGCAGTTTTCGTAGGGCTGTGCCGAATATCTGAATATTCCATCAATTATTGAATATGCAATGTTATTTTCTGAAATTGAATATTCGAATGCAAAATTCATGAAAAGGAAGGGAGAACTGTCTTTTGTTTTAAATGAGAAAAAATTGCAATATGGAGGCTTGTTTCAAGCAGATTCAAGTGAAAAGTGTCAGAAATCTTAGGATTGAAAAAGTGAAATATTCTTGAAAAAATTTAAAAGGAATAACAATTTTCAACGGGTGAAGAAATATTGTTTGTCTCTTAAATCTTGCTGAATGGTGGCTGGAGATAATCCTAGACGTGAGAACCTACTAAAGTGATTGTAGTGTACAATTGTGTGTTTTATTGCTACTGCTTTTGTGTGTGGTTCAGTCATCAACAATCTGCTGGCTGGTACGACTGAATCTTCGGATAGTTGATCAAATTGAAGGACGAATATAGTGAAGTATTCGAATTGACTCAGCCCTGAGATTACGATAATCCCAATTTCTTGAATTCTTATCTTTCTTTGTTTTTTTTTTCACTCTTTTGATAACAAAGCCATGGTTGTAACAATCTAATTTGCGTGGTTCATGCAACTTTGTTATCATGACCGTCGACTGTAGTTGAAGAAAAAAAACATGCAGCTTTTGCTTGCTTTGTTTTTTGCCAGTAGAAAGTTGGTGTCATACATGTATACGGAGCTTCTTTAAATTACTAAGGCACTAACACAGTCTCTAAAAGGAAACCTGCTGGGCGCATCCATGCTTATGCATGCACAAACCCGTGGGAAAACTTGAATTTTTGTACGGCTTTTGCATGGCCATCTGCCTCTCTGTTCTAGAGCAATGCAATTATGTCAAAACGTAAATGCATGGTCAGTAAACGAGTGATTTAATTAGTAAACCGAATAAGTGTTTTGATTAGCGTAAACTGCACAAACATTAGCTCGTACGTGCTTCAGCTAAATTTTGTTGAGTGGATCATACTAATGACAGAAAATGCACTCATACATGTATGTCATTTGCATGTGTTGTGCTTTGCGCTGCATTGAGAGGGCAGCATTCAGAATTTCTTCAATATGTTCTCTATGCACATGAATTCAACGTGTCTGCACTCAGGATGGCATCGAAGCTTCACCGGACGAGGAACAAGGAGTTTGCACTCTACTAAGTAATTTAATATACAGGTAGCTCTATGTAGGTACATGATCAAAAAGTAGAACTCAAGTTTACAGTGCTCTCAACAGCTTTTTATGTTCGCTTGGGGGGTGAGCTCCCATCGGGGAGGGGTGACAGGTGGAGACTGGACATTATTTGACCCCTGGGGGCACTTATGAAACAAATGTTACACTTCTGTAACACATGTTAAAAGTTATTGTGTTTACAGAGCTAGCTACCAGAATAAGCCCCTGGCAGTCGCTATATTTATCAAGACGTGAAATACTATTGTCTTCAATTTTTAAATTTTTTATTTTGCTTTTAAAAAAAAATGACAATTTTTTTCATGTTTATCAGTGAATCTACGGCAGTACTCATCGGCCTTCATTGGGAAAGACCTCAAGCCAAGTATATTTGGGGGTTACAATGCATGTATGCACTTATTTGTTGAAAAACTTTGTGATCAACCATGTGTGCACCAGCAAAATCACGCTTAGCAAACCACTGAAAAGTATCCAAAAACTAACATCAAATTCAGGCATTAGAAAAGAAAATGGAAGAAGGAAACTATTAAATACTGTGAACTGTATCTGGAATTTCTTGTGTGGTAGTCTGGCTCACGATATCCATGTATTGTGGGGTCAACACACTGTTCCAAAACGGCCTGGAACCAGTCTCCTTCATATCACGCAGCATGCTCAGCGCATTGTTTCTTTTTCTCCACTGCGAAGTTTGTCCATGACACGTCTTGTGCGTGATGCAGGCATCTATTTACTGTGCCAAAATAAATGCACCATCGTGACGGGTGCAACTCTTGTTCCAGGTTTTTGGTGCACTTTGCCGATTCTTCCATGTCTTGTTGTTCATTTATGTGGCTGAGGGTTGTAATTTCTAGCCACACTCAAGTTTCTAAAGAAATGTGCTGCAAAAAAGATCTTCCTGGCCACATTTTTAGCAACATGGTACAGTTTGTATGTTTGCCCACTTTCCTGACTTTAGACGAGTGATTTTTTTTTATGTAGCTTGAGAAACAGACCAGCGATTGATTCTTAAAAGCTGGGCTTCTTGATAAATTGTAATTAAAACTTCACAACTCTGTTTGCATTCAGAATGTCTACTTTGTTAACAGCGGGACGGAGGCCAATGACCTAGCAGTAAATTTGGCACGTCTACACACTGGTGCCTATGACATAGTGAGCCTGAGGTGAGTGTGTAAATAGGTGTCATGGTACCAGTGATGTTGACAGGTACATGTAGGAGTGCGGTTGTATTCAGAATCAGAACACTGGTGCCCAGGATGATATCCAATTTAGCCTTTTAGTTGAACTTGCCAGTGAGTGTCTTGATACTAAAAACTTTAACAGAGTCATCCCTGGCTGAGTTTTGATTCTCAGAGAAACCAGTGCAGTGGCACTGTGAGTTGAGCTTGATTCTGATCATTTTGGCCCCAGTGACATAAGTGAGCGAACGAGTATCAGGGCACCAGTGTCAGTATGAATGGCATGTAGTGAGTCTCCTCGGGTAACTGTGGTGAGTATAAAAATGAATGTTTGAGTGGTGGCAGCTTTGACATTGTAACAGGTGTACCAGGTGTGGGTCACTTTGGAAAAGGGTGTTTCTAGACCAATCCAGCAACGTTGTCTTTGGACATTTCTGATGGCCCCCTTTAGAGGCAGAAAGCATTGTGTTGGGGTTTTGTACAAAGTAACCGTCACATGATGGATCAGCACCTATTGTATAGAGCGACAGTATACATATAGTTGCTGTACAGTTGTCATAATGCTTATTGCTATTGAAAAGAGCCATTGCAAATGAACACCCATAACATTACCTTGGTCTTTTGACTTGCCAGTAAGTATGTATTTAAAAATTATGTATATGGGGGTAGGCATCAAACTGTCCAATTGAAACAGTGAAACATGAAGTTACTGTGCCCATAAAATTTGACCAGTCAGTTGATCCTTTTTTCTTTTTTTTGGTAAAGGAATGCCTACCATGGCATCAGCCCCACCTTGCTAGGCTTGACTTGCCTGGGCAACTGGCTGTATGATATCCCAGGAGGCTTCGGCTATCACAACGCCATCAACCCCGACCCGTTCCGGGGGCCGTGGGGCGGGAAGAATTGCCGCGACTCTCCTGTGCAGGTAGGAGGATAGATTTTCCACATTGCCAGCCTATTGCGGTTGTATTGAGACCGCAAATCCCAGATTTAAAAATTCCTCAAATCTGAATGGTGTGCATAAACAAGAATGCAGAACGACGACCTACATGTTCGTGTGAAAATAACCCTCTGGGAATTTTTGCAAGTATCCATCATTCATTATCAGCAGATGTAAAAAGCAGTCTTGTGATTATCTCCTGCACCTCCAAGCCTTGCACTAACTTTTACTTGCCCGTATATAAAAAAATGTTAAAAACCTGAAATTTGTTATCAGCTTACCAATGCAGAATTTGACATTTCGGAAAATAAAAGGCTGATGGTATAAATAATAAAGAGGCATTTATGTCAGTTAAAAGTCGGAGTCACTGGTCACGGAGCCGGGATCAAAATCATCTCTGTGCTCCATCTTTCCTCTCATTTGGGTTGCTTATGTTTGGCAAAAAATGCTACTTTTTGCTTACTTTCTGACCTCCACACATGCACGGTGAACGAGAGAAAAAACTTTTTCCCATCAGAAGGGGGTGCTGTTTGCACACGGCTTTGTGTATAGTGTACTTCGCATCAAACGCTTTCAAGCACTCCTGCAATACCCAGTATAGCTAGCTGTGGGCAGTTAAGGTCAAAAAAATTGATAAGGCCCCCCTCAAAAAAATACTTCTGTTTTCGGTTTCCCGACTGACTCTTACTTTTCGGCTTTTCGACCCTAACATTTTTATCGGCAAGTTAGAAAACAAATTTACAAAATTAAAATTAATGCCGATGTCTTTGCTGTCTTCACAAAACACCTTTCAACAACCGTTTCTCTCGTTAAAATGCTTGTTTTTATATGTTTTCCTTCTTCATTTGCAATTTTTGAAAAGAAACTTCAGTCATTTTCAGAAAGTCATTTTCACAAGTTCAACTCACGTATTGCTGTCGCAGTAGTGAAATTATTTTTGTGCGCAAAGTTCAATGCATGAAAGTAAAGCTGCGCTGGTTCCCACCACACTGGGCCCATGCAAAAGAACGCGAGACGGGAATGTGCTAACCAGTCTTTCATGTCTTTACGTCCCGGTCGCGAGTCGATTAAAACTATATCAGTGTCATACACGCATGCAGCCATACAGTTGCAGGTTGAAAAAACATTGATGTTGCAAGAGGATTTCTTCAAGTTAATTCACAGAACTTGGTCTCATGTTTATGTAGTTATTTCCTCTGCTCATGAGTTCCTGCCCTGGCACGTGGTTTATCGCCCGTCGGGAAGCATCATGTACGCTTACCACGCGATACACAGACATTGCTGGCCAGTTTGCCATCGTGATCACCTAACTAACATTGTGTGATTTGTCCATAATACTTGTGATCTGTCGACTGCAGAAATTTTACATATATCAAGACATGTTTTTATCACTGTTTGAGACAATATTTGAAAGCTTTCATCCCCATTCAGGCTATTACATCAGCACAAAAAAATTGACCCAACAAAATTCTACCTACCGATATTATTTTTGAGAGGCATGTAGTCAGAAGCAGAAGTGGCCTAAACAGTGGATGAGAATAGTGTGCATGTGCGGTATCGCACCGTACCATATGCTACGCTATACCAGTACTACAACCCACCAGTCTACTCTGTTCATGGCGTTCACGGTCGCTTACCACCCTGTCGTGTGAGCATCGCGTTCCAAAAACACAAGTAAAAACACATCCACAACAACTCAGTTTTTGCGATCTTGTATTTATTATCACAACGAGCATTATATATTTTGATCTAAGTTTTAACAGGTAGGCTTATTCTGAATTTTTCACTAGCCCACCGGGCAACCAAGAAACCAAGTTTAGGTAGCCCGGAGCATTTTTTGCTAGAATTTGTACGCCCGGCTAGTACTATTTTCGAGGCCTGACCTCATAACTACTCTTTACTTCCAGAACGGATGTTTTCAAGGTTGGGCCTCCCCATGACCCCACCACAATGAAAGGGAAAAGATTTGAGTTTAAAAACAAAGGTGAATGTTGAACCTTTGCGTCAGTGTTTGAAATAAAGAAACAGTTTAGGAAGTGGGTAATGTACTCACTTGTAGGTATTTTTGTGATGATCTGTGCTAGCACATTGCAGATGGCAAGTGGCTATCCCAGCTGCTAACCCATCCCACCCCCCCCCGTGCTGTTATTATATTGCAAGCCTATCCTTGTGTCTTCCTATCTGTCTGTCTGTCTTTGTGTAGACCATCAGGCAATGTGATTGTGCAGCTGGGCAGTGCCATGCGAAGGATATGTACATTGACCAGTTGAAGGACCTCCTTCGGTACGAGACACCCAAGAAAATCGCTGGCATGTTTGCTGAGAGCATCCAGGTAATTTGCTTAAAGTATTGGGTGATTTTCTGGAGGTGTCCTGGTAATTTTCAGAAAGAATCATGGTAATTCGTTGAAAGAAATGAGGTAGTTTACTGGAAGTATTCAGGTTTTTTGCTGGAATCATTTGCTAAAATACTGGAAGTATTCAGGTTTTTTGCTGGAATCATTTGCTAAAATTATTTGGGTAACTTTTTGAAAATTTATGGGCAATTTTCTGACAGTATCAAGCCAATTCCTATTTTGCTGTAACTATTGCAACAAATGCCACTTGATACTCCTTTTAACCACTTCCTGCCGGGGCATTTATCAATGTTGAGGATGCTGGGACGGAATATTTATAATTTTTTTCTGTTTTCAAAATTCTTTAACAATTCCTATCTATATACTGGACACTTACAATCGACATTCTGGGCCATTGATTTTCCTTCACGGAAATAAAGGTGTCAGACATTTCAAACACTGCTTGTTTATTCACCCCCAGGGAGTCGGTGGTGCAGTCCAGTTCCCAAAGGGTTACCTAAAGGAAGCATTTGAACTGATCCGGGAGAAGGGGGGAGTCTGCATATCTGATGAGGTGCAGACAGGCTTTGGTCGGACCGGGGAACATTACTGGGGTTTTGAGGCCCAAGGGGTCCTCCCTGACATCGGTGAGTGTATCATTCATCCCCAAATATCTTGTTTTTATTTATCAACACAGAAAGTTACAAAGCAGAAGCAAATCAATACTTTTAAGTGAGATAAATTTTACCAACACGTTGTGGAAGAAACTTACTTTTGAAATGCAATAGTGTAGTGCTTTTTGAGCCATGAGTCTGAATCACATGGTATTAAAACGATTCACCAATCAGACGGGATTTACTCAGTTTTGATGTGATATCCAAATAGATTGGCTAATCTCAATCACCCTGTCAGTGCTCTCCTACAAACACCCAAGTATTCTTTGTGTCTTTTTTGACAGTTACTCTCGCAAAGGGCATCGGTAATGGTTTCCCCCTTGCTGCTGTTGTTACCACACCAGGTAAGAGGGAACTTTTCTTTTGTGTCCTTGAAAACTGCTCCTGCAATTTTGCTAATATTTCTTTTGTCAGAAACAGTTGTTTGTGAACCAATTGTGCGTGTCTGCACAGCTTGCAACTAATGTAGAAGTAGCCAATTTGATTTTTTTAAGGTAAGGTCATTCAAGAACAAAGCATACCTGCTTGGCCATGTTCCTTGTGTCTGCGTCAGAGCGCGGCTTTCCTGGTAGTGTTGACTTCAAGTACGCATATTGTCATTCTTTCATTTTGAGCATGCACTGTTGGAATACTCAACTGGCTCATTTAAAGTGCCTGTTATCAAAACCGTCTGGACATATGTAGGAAACATGATGCCACTAGATTTTTTTACCAACAGTTTCATGGGACCCTAATGAGCCCTGAGTATGAACGGTCTCATGAGTCAGGTTAGCGTAGTTTGTACTGTCCTCGCTCTATACCAAGTCTGTGACCCTCGGTTTGAATCTCACTGATGCTTTCACGTAGATTGGGTTTTCACTTTTTACCTGCTGACTCCCAGGGTTTTTCTTGAAATATTTGTCAGGGGTTTTCCTCCCACCTCTAAAACTGAACATTCCTCCATTGTCCTATGTCCTAGGGTCCCAAGAGGGACAGTTTATACCTGATGGGAGTTTACATTGGTTTAATAAAAAATAAATCAATCAATCAAGTCAATCAGCAAGGGAGGCTGTCTTTTGAAACTTTAAATAGTTAGTTTTTTTTTAATGATGATTGAACAATATGGCCGTTTCACAGTAGTGCGCCACCAAGAGTTTGCAACGTGTTGGCCAATCACAGTGCGCGAAACTTTTCGACCCATTGTGCGCTTGGAAAGGGTCGACAAATTTTGCGCGTTATGATTGGCCACCGTGTTGCAAACTCTTGGTGGCGCACTATTGTGACTCGCCCGTATTGTGTCAACCATGAATTACAGTCAAGGGGTGTTCCACAGTTCTGATCCATAACAGAAATGATTGCTTGTCAACATTTGCAAGCATGTTTCTCCTAGATATTGCCGCATCACTGACCAGGGCCCTGCACATCAGCACGTACGGTGGAGGTCCACTTGCTGGGGCTGTTGGGAAGGCCGTCTTGGAGGTAAAGGAAGATGATGATGTTAACAATAACACTCCAGGGTGTTTGAAGCAGAAACCATGCTAAATTGATTGACATGTGAGAGTAGGAAATGTGAGACACCTGCTAATTGAAGTAACATCCATTGGATCTATTCCCATGGCCATACAACCTTCAGAGAATCTATCACATGTCCTTTAAAGTCCCTGGAAGTCTGTCATGAGTCCACATACGTCATCCAATCCTCAGCCATTAAGCCACAAACTTCTCAAGTCAGTGACAGTGACGAGCAAGAATGCAACAAAATTGGTGGCAAAGATAATTTGAAAGTTTTGAATTGCACCAGATGACAGTATCTTGTATGCTTCAACTTTAATGCATATCACTGCATCATTCTTCTCTTACCTCCTGTGTGTGTCGCCCAAGGTGAAAATGAGCACTTCTTGATTTATGTGAGCAGTTGGATTATTGAACCTACTTGTTTGGTTGCTTTTGCACCTGAATGTCATAGGTCATTGAGGAGGAGGGTACACAGGCAAACTGCAAGGAGGTTGGCACCTACACGTTGTTGGAGTTGGCCAAGCTGCGAGATGATTTTGAAATCGTTGGGGACGTGCGAGGCAAAGGACTCATGATCGGAGTTGAAATGGTCACAGACAAGGTTGGTGCCAGTTGTGAAACCCGCCTACTGGTTTAGCAGGCAGAAATGCCCTTTGGGTCAATTCTTTGGAGCTACTAAGCGTAGAAAAGGCACGCTCAACAAACACGGGTTACCAGCCAAGCTTCTCCTTGGGTGCGCACAGCCTGCCCTGCCAGTGGTGTAACTAGGGGGAATTTTCCAGGGGAGTCCTGGGGATGCATACACTTTTTCAGAGGGACTGAAAAAAAATCCGATGAACTGTGGCTTTCAAAAGGGGGGGTGGGGGTGGGGCACAGACGGGGGAGGGAACAGACCTCCGCTGGGGTTATGTGCCTCCCCCCCCACCTTGTTAAACAATGGTGTCCTGCTGACCAAGCATGCAGGGTTCCTTAACTGCATTTCCTTGAGTGGGATGATGACATTGGACCCGTGTTTGCGATAGCTCCAAGTCATTGTTGAACATGAGAGGTGACCTCATATAAGGTCACAAGGGCAACGTTTCACTGGCTGTGTTTCCGGCTAATGCTGCATCTGAAAGTTGTGGCTGTGACTTAATTGACGTAACACTTGCCTGTCAAAGCCTCTTGCCACCTCTAAAGCCCCTTCACATAGACAGGTGTAAGATTCAGACTTGATTCCAACAAAGCTTAACACTTAGTATGACATGAGTCTAATTCCCTTCCCTGATGCTTCCCCCGCTTGTATCATAAACCAACCTTAGACTTTTTGTTGACAGCATTTGGTGATTTCCTGTTTTCCTAAGGAATCCAGAAGGCCGCTTCCCCCTGAACAAATGGGAGCGATATGGGAAGACATGAAGGAGATGGGTGTCCTCATTGGAAAAGGAGGAATCCATGGAAACGTGAGTGTTACCCAAGGGAGACCCCGCTGACTGGCCAGTACAGACTGTGTAGTTTGTGTGGGCCTCCATGATTCGGTGATGACTGCGACAATATTTCATGGCATAGCTCTCTGAAATTTACCAAGATATTCATGGACATGGAGTGATTATCAAAATAATCTGTGGTTAAAAATGTGGAAAACTTTATCTAAAAACCCACCCACGGTTTAAAGTAAAAAAAAACTGAGTCCGCACGTAAAACCCTGTGAGTGTCATGACACAACAGCCCACTGTGATTAAGATTTTGTGGTTCTCAATGAGACCTTATTAAGCATGTGAACGTATTTTGTACAGTGGCGTAAATACCGGGGGGGGGAGCGGGGCAGGGGGGCTTGTGTCCCCCTAGAGGATACCTGCCTAGCAGTGTCTGCCCTTGGTCTCCACTCACAATCCAGTTGGGTACATGGAGATCGGTGGAAGACCCATACAAGGTGAAGATGCACTTTGAAGTAACACAGAATCTGGAGGTTTGAAGAGCCTGTGGTGTACATTTTTCATAGATGCACTTTTTGTGCATGTTTATACGCCTCTTCAGTGTATAAGACCTATTTGTCATTCTTTTGAGGTTAAGCACACGGTATTTATTTTAAATTGATTCAGACTTTTCTGGACAACAGAGGGCATCTGTGATGTCATTCAGGGAAGAGACTGTTCTGTTCAAAGGTTTTCCGTCGGCAGCTTCAGGTGCATGGGAATCAACCCTGAGCACAACCTTGAATCTTACCTCGCAAAGTCTTGCATTAATTACCATGAAAATTGAAAGGTCCTTGAGGTCTGCTGAGAAGTGGCAATATGCACACTTGGTAAAACAAATGCAAATGGGACATACAGGTGCGGCATTGGAAGCATTTCCTCCACATTGTCCATTGCAGGAGCCTTTAATATTAAAGCCATCCTGTGTTCTTTGCCGCTTGCTGATAGGTTTTCCGCATCAAGCCTCCCATGATTGTGACCAAGGAAGACATGGATTTTGGCCTGTCCATCCTGAAGAAGGCACTTCAGAACCACATGGAAAGGCATTCTTGATGGGTCTGTACTCACCAGAACAGTGGCGTTGGTAATGATGCCAAGATCATTATCACTCCTGTTATATATTCCCGTAAATCATTCCTAATTAGCATCTGAGAGCCAACATGTTGACTCAAGGCAGCCCAATGGCAAAAGTAAGAGTGATTCATTCCTAAATTGCCCATAAATTTGATACGACTATTTCCTGTGATCATGTATTTTCTCCCATTGTTTAATAGTCTGGTTTCTGGATCCTCCAATTTCAACAGAGAGTTTCGCATGTTTCACGAAATCAGGCTTTACTTTCATGATCAGATATTGATTGGATTGGGTATTCAGGATGGTTTCAATACATTTGCTGTAAAAGAAGCATTGTACTACATATAAGAAACAATTTTATATACAATTTTGGATTAACCAAGACATATTGTCAGCATTTGTTTTTAATCTGCATCATGTGAAAATATTTAATCACTGCTCAAAGAATTATTGAATAATTATTGAATATATGCGTTATTTTCAATGTTTTAATGTGAGGATAATTACAATTATACACATAGAGTCAAAAGACATGGCTGACTTAATATTCTACATTTTTTAAACGGGTGGCTTTGAAGACATTTTCATAATAACCATTTTCAGATAACTTTTTTTTTACTAATTGAAAGTCTTTCATTGGGTTATACACAAGGTCAGGGGACAGGTTATGTCGGTATTAAGTAGCTTTGGAACTCGATTTGGTTCTTTGGTTACAAAAGAGATACTGTATTTTTTCTAGAATTCTTCCTTGTTTCATTCAGGCTCTTGGTCTAAATCACTTGTGCTGTTGTCAAAGTTTTATCTTTTGCCAATTTTTGTTTTTAAATTACTGCCTGTAGAGATAGACAAGTTACAAATTATGACATACAAAAATTGTATTTTTATGGTTAAATCGGACAGCTGTGGTCCAATTATTATACACTTTATGTCTTCCAATATGCGCCTTTTTATTATATGTATACTTCTATTAGAGTTGGCGACAATCAAGATCAGTCTGTAACTCTCCACGAACTTTTTTACTGCCAAATTATCCACTCCGAGCGGAACAAAACAGGGCGTTCTTTTTTTAGTAATCACATCAATCACCATGGGTGTGTTCCATTAGCTTACACCTGTAAGTCAAACTTACACGAGAGCGTTTGTTTAGCCATCACGTGATCTTTGTGCCTGCCATGGTGTCAGTCACTACTACCCAGGCTGGCTAGTGGGTCTCTGGAGGCTGCTCGAGTGTAATGACGTCACGGATGGCCTGTTCAAGCATATGGATATGATGGAACTGGCGGGGACTTTACCTTTTTCCCAGAATGCCTTGCCGAATACACTGCAGCATTTGATTCGCCTCATTTTGAGGCTTTCCTTGCATGTAACACTGGTGTATTCAGGGAAGCTAATCGAATGCATCCATTATAATTAAGACCAATGGGTAATCACTGCATAGACACGCCATGAGGCGCGCAAGTATATGCGCGGTTGATGCGGAGCACGATGAGTACGCGTAACTAAGGCTGCGTCCGAATCTGTTTAGAGCTAGGTCGCTATGTGTGGAGATGCATAGACAATAGACGTAGCCGTAGCTCTGGAAGCCCGTTTTGGACACGGCCTTAGTTTTATTGTCTTTGTGTACATGCAGAATGAGTGCAAGAACCTGCTTGTAACCACCTGTCTTTCTTTCGCCGATTGGGGTGCACTTCAGCTCGGGGCGTATTGAGCTGTTGTGAACGCAGTAAGGGAGATCATTATTGACAGAAGTCAGTGTCAGAAAAAGCTGAAATTGGCATTTTTGCGCAGAAGTGCTGAAAAGATTCAAAAGCATTCAGAGAGTGGACGTGCTTTTTTAAAAAAGGTAATTTTATGCTGTTGAACAAGCTTGGTTTCAATAGTTTTTGATGTTTCTTCAGCCGAAAATAAGTTTGTTGCGTGTGCCATTCTTGACGTAAATGAAACAGTTTACAAATATTTGATAATGATCTTTCTAAATTGCTATGTGCATAATGTCAGTCTAGATGTTTCCATTATGTTTTTACCCTGTGTGTGAGCAATAATAACCCCAAACGAGTGGTGTGGCTTAGGGGAGGGGCAATTCCCCAGTGGCGTAACTAAAATGTCCGGAGGGCACCCGGAGGTGCACACATTTTTTCAAGGGGGCACCAAGTAAAACTGCAGATATATAACTATATAACGTTTAAGTCAATGGAAAGTTTAGATTTGGGACACCTGGGGGCACGTGCCCCCTTCCCCTTCATACATGTAGTTACGTCATTGGCATTCCCTTTGTCTTTAGCCCCCGTCCCCCAACCACCCTAGGCCCCAAGCAGAGTATTCAAAAGGCGAGTAAGTATGACTCAATAGAAAGGCAAATGACCCAGCCAGGTTTCCTCAAAACATCCCAAGATTCTTCATAATGTGTTTTGGTGGTTTGCTGTGCAAAGTTACATTGACAGTGTCGTGCATAATGCATTCACAGGCAGATCGCATCGTACATGTACTTCAAACCCTGAAAATGCCGGGCCTTTTCGGACAATCTTACTACCGAGGGGCGGTTCGACCCCTCCTCGTAACTTAGTTGTCCCGTACCAGATTTTTGTTTTAAATTTAGTATGCGTCAAACTGAAAAACGAGAAATTACTCTGTTTCAGATTTTGTTTTCAGGGTTTTAGCGTTTTTCAAGTCGAAAAAACGAATGAACAAACCGTACACGGACCGACTGATTGACAATACTTTTAAATTGTTTTGGAATAAAATGGGCGATGTGCGAGAACGGCGCGTCCGATTTTCATAACATTTCACAAAATTGGTGTTGAATTTGACTGCAAGACATATGACTGAAAGAAATCCTGCAGTCTCAGCGCGTGAAATGCATTGCAACGATATCGGAAAAAAATTTATTGATGTCGAGGGGATCTTAGTCTCAGGTATTCAGGGCTCAGTCACACTTCTGCGTATGAGTTGCGCACTGACATTTTTTTCATACGCAGTCGTATGCATCTTAATCTTTTTGTGTTGATGTACGCAGGCATGCGCACAGTACAGCCAAGCTGCTGGCAATATATATGCCAGAAGATTTCGGGCATGCAAAAAACTACACTGCGTACGCTGTTACCATTAATCTCAGATCAATGCGCTGAACGAACTCATGCGCATCTCATACGCCATGGATGCGCTGAATTCGTTACTTATACGCTAGATGTGCGTCGCATATAAGTCAAAGTCCTCGAAAAATTTCGAAATTTTAAGTGTTCGGCTGCGTACTGAAAAAATTTAACAAGGAACTCTTAAGGACTTGATATACGCAAAAGTGTGATGATCTATAAGCGCCCAAGGCATTTACATGTACACATGTACGTCTGTGTTCCAACTTCCAATGTCCCGCCCACTCGATCGTGGGGAAAGCAGTTGCGGCGATAGAGGGCGCGTTTAATCTTTACACTAAATAAATAATAGACCAAAGACGTACAAACGCAGATGACCCGTGCATGCATTGACTTGGAACATATTTTTAGGCCTCGTACTAGCACAGGATTTGTTGGAGAAATTGTAAAAGTAAACTGCTGCTGGGGACGTGAAACAAATTACCCGAAAGAGGTTACTACAGTAGAAGTATAGGTCCCTACATCGCAACCAGATCGAAATCATGCCGGTGAGTTTTGTATGAGCATGCGGCAGCCCGTGTGATCGTTTTGTGTACCCCCAGAACTGTGAGGTCCGACGTCCGCCCCGCTCCCACTTTCGTCGTGGACGTGGGACCCTACTAACCCTTCCTGAACAGTAAGGTACTACTCCGTCTCTTGAAGTTGTCGGACCCTACAGTTCTGTGGGTGATCGTTGTGATTGTAGGACTAACAATAATAATTGCCACTGTTACAGTGTTAGGCCTGGGTAAATGTACACTGTTAGTGTTATACGTGTACGGTGTACATTTACATGACGTGGGCAATGTAAAGTACCACGTCTTTCTGTTGTGAAATTATTTCGTGCAAAATATTATGCGAGGTTTTATTCATGCATATGTTTAAGAAATCAAGATCTCAATCTTGATTAGTAATTTTAGCTGACAAGCTCTTCCATGGACTCATGGACCGCACTCAGCTTGGAAAGAGTTAACAATGGCCATGATGGTTAACATGCTATCTTTTCGTACCTCCATGGTGAGCAGGCCTAAGACCCAAGGAAATTGTTTTGCCTATAACGCGCTGGGGCTACGGGAGTGCGGCTGATGATGACCCCCCCCCCCAGTTCTGGGGATAAATGTGGTGCACTTTTTAAGTTTGCCTCTAGTGGCTTATTGGACCAGTGCTATAATGGGAATCTACTGTACTTGAAATTTCTCAAATGGTGAAGTTTAATCAAACTCCAAATAAGCTGATTCGTAAATCTTGATTTTTACTAAGTTGTGCTGAAATTTTATTTTGGCTTGATTTTCCGATCTTTTTTCTGAAGTGCAAAATGAACTCTTTTGAAATGCACCCAAGACGCAAAAATAATGTTCTAACCAACTTTTATTTGGGTATGCAAATGGAAATACAAAACATTGTTAAAAGATTTACAGGAATCAACCATCCTAAACTTGGGATTTTCTGAGATTTTTTCATGTGTGCCATGTTAAGGACCACTCAGCTGAATTTTGGCCCAGTTTCCAGATGCCACCTTTTTTTTGTTTTAAATCTCGGACAAAATTTCATAACACTGAAATTATTCTCAAAGGTTCAACAGCCTGCATCATGAAGGCAATACGGTAAGTACCACTTTTTAACCAAGTGGATTTGAAGTTTTTCAACAAAGAGTTTTGGCAATACTGTATGGGGAATATCAAATGAATGCTGAGGTGCGCCACGTCACAGGACTGTATAGTGTACTATAGCTGGCATGCCTCATTGCCTGATGGTTTTTGCAGATCTGATCATTGATGATTTATGGAAGTTGATTAGGGGCTAGTATACATGTATGTATATGTGAATAGCTAACAGATATGTACATGAAGTAGTGACCCAGCATATGTATTTGCGATAATTTGGGCAGCTCTTTGGTAACAATCTGTTTAGGCCATGAGAAGTCATGAGTTAAAGATTTGCATCCACTGTCCGCGTGCTCTTAATGCTTATAAATCTACAAAAATTTCCATCATTTACAGAGAAAGGTTGTCCGTCATACATTCTAAGCTGCAATTTATTCTGCGGTAGTGGAAGCTTCTTTTGAAAATAAGTGGAATTTTTTCAGACCAGTCTCAGAGGGTATATGCGCAGGATGTCAAGCTCACGTGATGTCCAAGTGTGGAACCCTTTCCAAGTCCTGGTTACTTGGACTCAGAAAAACTGAACTTGTCTGAGAAAAAGGTGGTTTACCAATAGGTCATATTTGGAAACCCTGTTTGTGGTTAGGAGGTAACTTGAGAATCGTGGTGGCGGATGCTTTTAAGAACCAGAAGGCACCCTCCTTGTATGCCTTCCATCACTGCCACTTTTAAGGGGGGCTCCGCGCTGTGGGATTTTGAACCCCATGTGGAGATTCAAATCCATTGTCTGATTACTAAAATCTAGTTAATTCAAGTTTCCGGAATCTTCCCTGAGAGACAGCCAGGGCTATTTGATGTCTCCTGAAAACATTTTACCGCGCCAATTACCATTGCAGTGTTTACTGCACTATTTGTATTTACTTGTGCTCAAACACTGCACATGCATGTACATGTACATCAGGTCAACGGCTGACCTCCACATATCCACTTAACCGTGCGTGGAGGTTGAAATTGGGTTATTCCAGAAATTAGGCATCCATTTTTGTGTGTCCCAGTCACATGTGACATATGATTTTGTTTAAAGTTCAGAACACGTTCTCTGATTTCCAAGAGTGATGAATTATTGTAAATTACCTGCCAAACAAATACATGCAGTGATAGTTTGAAATCAATGCTGGTGATATTTCCATGTGAAATAACAAAGGTCAGATGTAACAGGGACACAAAAATATCACACCATTGGACCCCTAATTTTTGGAATTAACCAATTATCAATAATTTTGCTATCGATTGGTCATCAATAGTTTGGTGTCGTTGCCCACCCAGCCCAAAGGTAAAGCTGCAACCAAGGGCCAGAAGCAGATTGTAGAGGACAACAAGAAAACTTTGATCTTCTATCGCAACATCATGTTTGGCGCCAGTGCTGCATATGTTGTCGTCCGGCTATTGTGGTGGCTGGAGTCGTTCTCATGGCTACAATGGGTATGTTAATTGCTCCCCCGTGCCCCCCCCCCCGACGTTTGTTTTTAATCTTGATGCCCTTCTTAATGTGACAGAATTTCCTGAACAGCAAGAGAGTGCAAATCAAGTACGATGAAGCAGGCTCCAAAGTAAATTCCAAATGAAAAGGTTTAATCAGTGAACATGCACGTCCTGGCCTGTGCAGAGAATGTCCACAATTTTTTCGCACACTACAATCATGACAATGTACATGTATGTTCCGTAATTAATCAAGGTTCTACCCTTGAAAACATGAACGGAGTGCTTTGTTTTTCATTCTGCTGTTCGGCATCTGAATGGAAAAAGCCCTCAAGAATTTTTTTTACATTGCTAGTCTTGGTGATGATTGTTTAAGATACTACAGGAAACATGGCGATATGTGCTCATGTGGAATCAAAGCGAGATATTTTTGTAGGCTTACCCTGAATTGTGTCAACACGACGGCAACATTCATTTCTGATAGTGGTGAGGAAAACAAAAGTTGTCAACAAAACTTTATTGCAAGTCATGCGGTCTTTTCACGTTGAGCCGCAAGCTCACTGGCAGCAGTGTGACAAGGAGTTCTCACATTGGAGACTTTGCACTGGAGGGAAGTTCTCAAGTTTTCTGAAGAGCCTTGACTTTCCTCACCCACCTCTTCCCTGTACAGTGTTTCCTGATCTTTGCATCGGCCGTGTACATCGGGTGCTACCAGTTCATGGCTTTCATGGCCCGAGCCAAGTATTCTTCCACTGGTACTCTATTAGATGGCGGTGTGGATCTCAACATGGAGCAAGGAATGGCAGAGTAAGCTTGGCTTTCTTCACCCTGACCATCCCGTTTTCTCCTAAACCTAGGCCGTTTTCCAGTACTCGACTTTGACTTCGTCGGAGGCTTCAACGTTTTTTTTACTACCTGACTTTGAAGATGTTACTGCAACAGTAAGTCTGATGGTGCCATAGAACATCAAGTAAGATGCAAAAGAGCCAAACATTACAGTTCTTCAATTTAATTTAAAAGCTTCAGGTTACAATTTGGGGATTGGTTTCAAAGACGAAGCCTGAGATGGAGACAAGTTGAGTATTGGAAATCGGCACTCACCAAGAACACATTCAGAACCAAAGTTTCTGTGGGGGCCCAAAATTTGAGAATTATTTATGTTGCCTTTTGTGGCTTTTCAGAGGGGTGAGGCTATATCGGGGGGCCTTTGACAGGAAGGAAGGAAGGAAAATGAAAAATGAAAAAATAATTCCCCTTTTCTCCTCACACATGTATTTCAAAAAGAAGAAAAATTCCCCTTTTTTGGGGGGGGGAGGGGCATGGCCTCCATAGGCCACCTTGGGGTCTACCTGTAAACCAGACATTTGCTGCATTACTGTACTACTTTGGTTCCAACCCTAACTCAAGCCAAAATGTGCTTTGAATTTTGAACCCCTGTCTATGTAATCTTGCAGGTTCAACGTCACGTAAAGAGCCTTATACAATCGCAAGAAATAAATTTGAAGTAAACAGATGTAAAATCACTATGACCCAAATCTGCCGTTGACAACACATTAAAGAGCTGTGCCAACAGCGAATGGTATCACACCTATGCCAGCTTGCTGCTTCCACATTTCACTGGCATCTGCCGTACTTTGTGAAAGTTGCACAGGTAATAGTAAATATGAGTAGTCTGGTTAGCAGTTCCTGCATTGTGGCTTTGACTGTGAGGCAGGGACTAGTCAGTGATAATGGAGCTGAGGGTTCCTTACCTTTTTTTTGACTAGACACTTATATCATTCTAGGCCAGTTAAAATACAGCATTCACGGCAGGTACTTATATAAAAATGATTGTTATGATGCATCTTTTGCCTTTCAAAATGATCTTCCGACAGACACGTGAAAGACGTCATGTTGGTGACTGCTGTCCTGCAGGTCCTAAGCATCCTTTGGGACGCCTTCTGGCTCCTGTGGCTGGTGGTGCCTGGCCGGGCCTTCTACCTGGTCTGGACCTCCATCCTGGCCCCCTGGTTCTTTGCACCGGCGCCCGAGGTGGACGAGAAGAAGCAGAGGAAGATGGAGCGGAAGATGCAGAGGAGATGATGACAGCTCCAACCACAAGAGGCCTTTTAGGACAAAACAAATTCGACTGAATGACTATCCTTTTCTTTTTAAATAAGTGTGAATTTATAATGTGGAAATGGCTCTGATATTGTTTGCAAGTGCTCATTGGTACATCCAGGGCAGTGGTTTCCCATCCAATATCGGCGGTGCTGCGTATTACCTCTAATATCTTGGCATTTGTACAGGCTGTGAGCTAGTTGGAATTGTCTGGCAGCAGGGCCTTTGCACATTGGCAGAAAAAGCCGGCAAACATCTTCAACAGCCCACGTTGCGACATGATTAAAAAGTCCCTAACCTCATCGTGTATGATGGCATTTATTTGACACTGCATGTGAAAGAGTGTTGCAGTTGAGAATGTAAATGTGAATGTCGTTGGAAATAGGACCATACTGAGGTCATTCACAGTCCCTGGGGGTGAATAGGTGTGCACTAGACCATGCTGAGGTCATTCACAGTCCCTGGGGGTGCATAGGCGTGCACTAGTGACCTCTTATTGCCAGTCCGTATATGTATAATACTGTGCGTTCCAAAAAGGGAAATTTTTTCTCTGCATGCTCACATAGTGAAGTAGCCTATACAATTTTTTTACAAGAAAAAATGAGAATGTTATAAAATCTTTAGATATGTATTCATTTCACTTCTCACCCAGACCCAGTACTTTCCCTTGCCAATTATGCCTTGTAAGTGAAAGAAAATTTACTGCAAATTGTAAGGAAAGTTCAACAGTTGCTGTGTCAAGGAAATGAGCATCTTGAACATTTTTTATAAAAAACATTCCGAATAGAAAAAAATTGAGATTGCACTTCGTATGAAATTTAAATTGCATTCACTGTTATTCAAGAAATTTTTGCATCCTCGAAGCTCTGGTAAAGTTAGGTTCGACAACCCATCATCTCAAGTTATTTTCAATAATGTGCAATAAAGGTCAATAAGGTTCTCTGTAATTCAGGTAGGCTTATTGTGACTTGAAAACTCATTTGCATACGTTTGATGTGATCTTTAAACAATGTTTAAAGATTATTTTAAAAAGTCCATGATAAATAATCCTGGTAAGCATGCACCGCACCGAAATGTTGCTTCCCCGTTTCACATGAATAGAAACACATACAAAAAGTGACTGTCTGTATGGAATTAATTCTTTTTTTGTGAACGTTTTCGGAGTTGTTCGGTCCGTTGGTTGGTGTGCCTGTCTAGTAAGTTTACTACCTGACTGGACCTTTAACATCCCCCACACACACACACCACACATACACCCACATTGAGGAGAATGTATTTCCGAGTGCTGTGTCATATAGGGTCCTAAACCGGCCGCCGACAAACTTACAGTACTTCACAAGCCGCCGCGGACTCGTGAAAAAAGAAGCCGAGATCCGAGATCAAAGGTGGCGCGCTCGGCTTTCTCAGACCTCACCGCTGGATGACAACAGGCTCGGCATTGTTGAATAACTTCCGTGGCGGCGGTATCCTGTGATCATCCGTCCTATCTTTGTCCTGCTAGGCGACTGAAGTTGACCGTGCTTTTGTTCCTGTCCACCGACGGGTTGATTGGCTATTGTTCCCGTCCAACGATGGGTTTGTGAAACTACTGAGCTTCGGTGTTGGTTATGCATTCTTTCTTTGAGCGTCCCACGAGGAACTGCTTTGCATGTAGTCCCATGCATTTCTCCACTGGCAATTTTTGAGCCGTATTGCTGAAGTTCTTATCGTACCTGGAAGTTGAAATTCCAAGATTGTCCTTGCATTAAGTCGTAGACATTGCTTAAAAGTGTCCAGCAACTTCTAAACCCTGCAATCGAACTGAACCACTTGCGAGCTGTCGGTGGAATTCTTGAGAGAGATGGCTCCGTCTTCTCCGGCTAACGACTGCGACGTCACGCCGCCCAGCGGGACAGGCAAAGGCAAGTCTCGGCGGCCCAACTACCGGCGGAGAATCAAGTCCCCTTACTCCTTCGCAGAACTCATCGCCATGGCAATAAAGGTAAGTTTCGTCAATTCCTTTCAGGTGCAGAAAAGAGCCCAGGTGATCAGGCCATGGTAAACATTGCCATGACTTTTGCTGGAAATCTTACACAATCGGTAGTATTTTTGCACGATGTGAACTTTACTTGCCAATGTGTTTCATGCGGCTTTCTATTCTTATATAAGAAACTATTCTACGTCTGTTTTTGGTTACAAGAGTACTTTTTAAACATTTACAAATTTCCCGTACTTTTCCTCACAAATGAGGGCGCTGTTGCTGAAATGTCATCAGAGCCGTACATAAGAAGAGTTGCAACATCTTCAGATTTAAAGTGTAGCTGCAAGGAATCTGTTTTAGACATACATTTCTGCAATTTTAAACGTTAAACTCGTCAATGGTTGAAACTATTCAACATCAATATTCAGGTAGATGTATTGAACAGTGCACTTCAAAAATAACTTATCCATGCTTTCCTTGATAAGATCGCTGTTGCTCTAATGTACGTCAACCGGTAAAGAAATCACTCAATGCATATGTCTTTAAATTGCTTATTACTATGTACTTACACAACAATGAACCACCAAAGAAGATAAAATTTTGGCAGAATAAAAAATATGCAGTTTTATGCACAGTATTATATAACGTTGAGATTTTCTTTCACATACTGATGACGTCTCAGTACAGCAAACATGGAAACACGTTATTATATAAAACAAAAGGGAGTAAAATACCTTTTGAAATTAGGTTACCAGAGACACAAAGTTGCATTTTGAGGACTTTATTTTTACGAAAATGGAGCCACCTTTTAGAACCAAAACAGGTGTTCATCTGCAGTGTGCAGCTATTGTTCAACTCTCCGTGTGCAATGGCGCATAATAATCCGCCATTTTGGTTCGAACGATGTTATTGTGGCACTTATGTTGCAACTGTATTATTCCAACGGCTGCGAATTCATCACATAAAGACATTGTTCCTTCGGGGTTTCCCATTCAGATAGTGTATCCCATAATTTGCTCTCTGAAAATGTTTCTGAGAAAAGATTGCTCACCGACACATGCACTGAAAAGTGAAAAATAAGTTACGAAAGCAAAATATCCAAACTTTGGGTCAATTTTAATGTAGAAATACACATGTAGCTACAAGGCAGAGGTTGGTTTCTGCCTTGGATGCCGTCACATTTATGTTAAAAACGCAAATTCGTAGCAACACAAACATCAAAAGGAGACCCAAGAGAACCTTTGAAAATGGCGCAATGAAAATCCACGAGAAACTGCTCAGGTGTGAATTTCATTGTTGACCCAAACTGCAAGATTAACAACTGAACTTTTTTCTCAAGAAACTATTCCCCAAAATGCTTATTCAGACTTTTGATGTAGTATAGTATTTACATTGTCTTTCTTTTGGCATTGCTATTTTAGGAATCTGAGACCGGTAAGATGACCCTGAAAGAGATTCAGCGTCACATGTCGGCCTCCTACGAATGTTTCCGGGGGTCTTACGACGGTTGGAAGAACAGCGTCCGTCACAACTTATCCACTTCCTCCTGCTTCGTCAAAGTGCTCAAGAACAAGACGAAACCAAACGGCAAGGACAACTTCTGGGCTCTAAACCCGGACTGCGCCCACTGCTCGACATACAAGGCACGCTACCCCGTTCAGAAGTACGGGGCCCCACGAGACTCTGATGCTGAACCGCAGACCATACCCCCGTCCGTCAGTGCTCCAGGAGTTGTCAGCTCAGCGGTGCACAGTGGTAACAGCACCGACACGGCAACGTGTCCGACTACCGGGCCGGACCCTCTTTCTAACGTCACCGGAGATGTCGCGGCGGGTAGCCACACCGGAGCCGCTGTCAGTAAGCGCCGGCCCTGTTCTCCGCTACCCACCAACTTGAAGCTCTCGACGGCCGACCCGTCTGACTGCACTGCGTCTACCGCTAGTCATCCCAGTGACGAGTGGAATATCTCCGTCAGTGACCTGTACATACCAGATGGGGACATCGACCTCTCCCTCTACAACGACGACGCCTGGATGCGCGGTGGAAGCGAAACCCGCCAGATTCCCCAACCACCAGCGGGAAACTTCCACCCAGAGCACCGTCGGGCCCCGCCTACCTGCGCGGGAAATGTCATCGATGCACCGTATCACGCCTTGCCTTTGGAGAGCGCCTACTCGCAGTCCGCACCTCCAGCCCAGCCAGCCAAGTTCAGGATTAAATCCGAATACTTGACAACCAGTCGGTATCATCCATACGACGCCCGCCAGAACATTGCCAGTTTACAGAGTCAATATTACAGTGACTACTTCATCAACTACTCGTGCCGCCACGCCGTCTCCAGACGCGGCTTTCATGGTTATCCCAGGCTGGCAAGTGCCGATGAGTCCCGGACTGTGCCGGGCTCCCTCCACGGCGACTCCGTGCTTGGGTCGGCCATTCGGAGCAGTCTGGGCTTGGACCTGGACGAGATGGCTCTCTGCGCGATTGAGCATTCAGTCAGAGTCCTCGATGTGACCCGGCCAGGTGACCTCTTGAGTGCTTAGGCCTTCTCTCGTATACATGACCCGAGAGAACTTTAGGAAAAATACTCCCAAAACTCTGAAATCCTCTGGATTATGCATCAGCCAACTTATCATTACACAGTTCATATTTTTTCAAGTGTTCTGTGTAATTAATTTTTGCTTGCAAGAAACTCAACTTGGGTCTTGTTCCAGTACATAGCTTAAGTGCGGGGAGTTTCCTTCGGGCCCATCTCTCAGTTAATGGCCTTGTCATTTTCAGAAATTCACACTGTACAATATTCTCAAATCTGAAATCCACCACTCTTCGATGCCATCGCTCTTTCCATAGTGGTACATGTACTTCTTAATGTTCTCTTTCGTAACATTATTTTTACTGCGTTAATGTTTAGTAAATTTGTACACCCCACACTTTGCAATAATGGACCCACAACACTGCTAAGCTGCAGTTTTATCTAACACCCATAAGCGTGGTTAAATTAAGTGCCTACTCATCATCCTATCTATTATTAATATGCTACACTTCTTTATTTTGCCTACCAGTCTGAAAACGATACTGTCTTACTCTTGATAAGTATATGTACATTTGTAAATTTTATGTTAAATCAGAAAAAAATCCTCAGTTTTTAGATACTTGTTATACATAATGTGTTTTCAGATTGATAAAATATTTTTGTTTTAGGGAGCTTACACAAGAGGTCGCCACGGTTTGGTAGCAACAGTTACTGCGATTTGGCCACACTGTTATTAAACAACCCTTGGAAACCGCAGTTTCAATGTGCGAGAGTCCCTCATTCGGAAACATTTGTTGGACTACAATCCTGGACAAATCTCGTTGGAACATGCCTTTACCCTCGCCCCCTGTCAATGTTGCTTCTCATTGGGTAACTGTACGCAACAGTGAATTTTGTTATCTCCTAAGTTTAATTAATATGAACAGCACAAAAGCGGTATCTCTGAGATGGCCGAGTGGTTAGGCTCACTGTTGTCAGATCGTTAGACGGTGAGTTCGAATCCCAGGAATGACTTTTTATTTTCCCGACGCTTGCTGTCAGTCAGTTGCTATAAGAGACTCCAATTCACCCCTGTCAAATACCAGCAGTACCTTAACCGACCGGGTAAGCTCTGCGGCTGGCACTGTCCGCGAAGTCCAGGTGAGCGCCTAAGAACAGGTTCGAGACGTGTGG